CCCCGGTAAATTCCAAGGAATTTATGGATCCCACCTGGAAATCCCAAGGATCGGCGGGACACCAGAGCCTTTCCCCCCGTAAATTCCAAGGAATTTATGGATCCCACCTGGAAATCCCATGGATCGGCGGGACACCGGAGCCTTTCCCCCGGTAAATTCCAAGGAATTGATGGATCCCACCTGGAAATCCCATGGATCGGCGGGACACCGGATCCTTTCCCCCGGTAAATTCCAAGGAATTTACGGATCCCACCTGGAAATCCCAAGGATCGGCCGGACACCGGAGCCTTTTCCCCGGTAAATTCCAAGGAATTTACGGATCCCACCTTCCAGAAGTTTGGTGGCCACCTGCATGGCATCCCTCTTCTCCTGGCGGCGTCCCAGGGGTCCCACGTTATCCATGAACCAGAGGTGAGGCTCTTCCCACGGCATTCCCAGCTGCTGGACGCGGATGATCCGATCGGCGTCCAGCGCTTCCCGGATCAACGCTTTGGCCTCTTCCTCGTTGACGATCCAAACCCGCCGGAATTTCTCGGCGCTGCTGCGCATCAGCTGCCTGCGGGAAAAAAAAAAGGGATTCCGAAGGGATCGGATCCGCTGCTCCGGAAATTCCCCGCGGCGCTGGAATTCCGAGCCCTGGAATTCCCAACCTCATCCGGCTCCGCATCTCCTGGAACTGCCCGGTGACCCGCTCCAGCTCCGATTCCAGGCTCTGCTTTTCCTCTTGGAATTTCATCTCCTGCTTGGCCATTTTGTCCCGCAGCAATTCCAGGGATGTCCGGAATCTGGGAAGGGGCAAAGAGTTGGGATTTGGGAATTTTCCCCAGAGGTGGGGAAAAGCTTTGGAAGGGGAGGGGATTCCCGGGATGGGTTTTACCGGCTGATTTTCCTTTTCTGCTGGGATCGGAGCGTGGAATTTTCCACATCCAGCTGCCGGAGCACTTCCAGGTTGTATTCCAGCTTCACCTGGTTCAGGTGGTAAATTCCCTTCATCTGCTGGAGTTTCCTCTCCAGGTACTGGAATTCCATGGGGGAAAAAAAATCACAAAGAATTCCACAGGGGAAAAAAAAAATATCGGAAAGATGAGCCCGGAATTTAGGGAAACCCCAGGGAAACTCCCGGAAGGGTTTGGATTCCCCAGGAAAAAAAAAGCTGGGATTAAATCCCAGCAGGGCCGAGAGTTTTTCCCTTTCCAGAGGATGGAGGAAAGCCGCGATCCCGGGGGTTAATTCCCAAAAATCCCACCCCAGCCAGAAATCCAAAGGCAAACCCTAAACAACAACCAGGGAAGTCCTTCCCAATCCCAGCCTCTCCAAGCTTGGAATTCCCACAATAAATCCCAGTCCCAGCTGCAATTTTTGCTTCCAGGAATTTTATTTTATTTTATTTTTTTTCCACCTGCAGTGGGCACAGAGAATTCCCGCTCCTCCTCCTCCTTAGGGAATTCTGCGTTTGTGGGGATTCATATTGGGATATTTTACAGCTATTTGGGGAAGGAAATATTCCCAAAATCCAGTGAAAAACTTTCCCTGAGGAATTTCTCCGTTATTATCCCTGTTCCCAAGGCTGCTCCCAAACCGGGATAAGGCCGTGGAAAACAAAGAGGGAAAATTATCTCCGGAGCCTTCCCCAGACACAGCCCAAGGTTGTTTTTCCAATGTTTTCCCGTTTTCCCAACGGCCCCACATTCCCTGGGAATGCTGAGCTGCAGCACGGAGCTGCTTCCATCCCAAAACTCCTGGGAACATCCCGCGCTTCCAGGATATCGGGAATGGGGGGTGAGGAGCTGCTGGAGCGAGTCCAGGGAATGCCAGGGAGCTGCTCCAGGGCTGGGAGAGCCGGGAATGTTCCCCTGGATCGGGGAAGATCCCGGGAATCCTTGGAGCCTTTTCCAGAGGGAAAGGAGAGCTGGAATTTGGGGAAGGGCTGGAGGGGCAGGAGCCAGGGAATGGAATTCCCAGTGGGAAAGGGGAGCTTGGGA